TAAAATACTTTTGGCCTAAGGGCATTATGAAAAAAGTTACTATGTCAATTAATAGCACCATAAACGAACAGAGTTTGGGAATTCCTGGTGTATACAATTTTTTATAGGGTTGGAGGATATACAAGAGCCATTAAAAATGGAGAGGATGAATATGGCTGACGCACTTCATATGCACGCATAAAAAAAAAAAAGGATCTGTTGACATTAAGACCAGAGTCTGGGAGATGAGGACAGAGATGGATGGAAGAAATTTGAGGGGGAACATTACATGGATGTATGGAAATGCCACAATGAACATCTCCTTTCGACAACTAATACATGCTAATAAAAAGCTATTTTTAAGAAGCCAGAAAAATAACTTTGCATAATATCCAGATATATTCATTTTTATTTCAGGTAGCTAAGTGAAATAAAATCTGCTTGTTTAGAATAATTCATTCTAATTTTGTCAGTATGAGCAAATTCGCGGATGACTCCTTTTATCATGGCTAACAGACTGATATGTGTAAAATCAATGACTGATACATTATCGATATATACATCTACACGAGATTTTTTTCCCACTTCAAAGCAGCCATTTAGGATGTCTACATGTATTCCTGGGAGAATGGTAAATAAACAAGCACCCACTGGGGGTGGGACTTGGTAATCCTCCTTTGAGATTACCTTCTGAGCCAAGGATAAGATGTTTTACAAAGATTCCATAATGAATTAAGCTCTTAGGGTAGATTTAATTTCTAGAAATGACTAAACACAATTTGGTGCTGAATCTGGGAAATCAAGCAAGTAAGCCAAAATGGAAAATGCCTAGTATGGAGTTTTGTATTAAAAATAAAAACAAAGGGAAATAACAATATGCTGAAATGAGGATACAAGTTGACCTATTGCAACAATGAGATGTACAAGACACTATGTTGGAAACGAACTTTACAACTTCAGGTGGGGAGGGAGGAGTTGGGGAGGTAGGGAGGGAAGGGATGGTAGGGGAAAAACAAAGGAGGGGGTAACAATGTTCTATAGGAAACGGACTCATTACCTTACTCATGTAACTGTAACCCCTCTGTACAGTATCTCTACAATAAAATACGTATATTAAAAAAATAAAGCCAGGCACCAGTGGCTCATGGCTGTAATCTCAGCTTCTCAGGAGGCTGAGATCTGAGGAACTAAGTTTGAAACCATAGCAGGGAAGACAATTTTGAGAGAGAGTTCTAATTAATCATAAAAGAGCCAGAAGTGAAGATATGGCTCAACTGGTAGAGTGTCAGCCTTGAGAGAAAAATAAAGCAAGAGTAAGAGGCCCTGAAATCAAGCCCCAGTAGCAGTAAGGAGGGAGGGAGGGAGGAAAGGCAGAAGGGAAGAATGGATTTCAGAAAGAGAAGTGGTAAAAACATTTCAGTAAAATTGCTTATATACATATGATCTATTTGAGGGCATATTGTGTAGATGGTAATTGTCTTAAAAACCATTACCATTATGCTTTTGGTACTTTCTTAAATCAAATGTGTGTGTGTGTGTGTGTGTGTGTGTGTGTGTGTGTGTGTGTGTGTGCATGCGCACACGTGCACCTGTTTATATGAGAGAGAGACTTTTTTTATAAATATAAGACAATTCATAATATGGGCAATATAATACCAAAACAAATATATGGGAAACTGATGCTGATTTATCTATATTGACCAATATAGATAGGGGAGGAAAAAAACTGGGAGAAAATAAAGGAAGAGATGACACTGTTCAAGAAGAAACATACTCATTGCCTGACTTACATAACTGTAACCTCTCTGTACATCACCTGTACAATAACAATAAAGTGTATGTATAGAGAGAGAGATAATATTGAGATGGTCCATGGGGGTAGATAATTAAATATTTTAAATTTCATCCTTGGCTATACATATCGTTCTAGATAGATAGATAGATGGATGGATCTGACTATATCTATAAGAGATTTCCAATTTCTATGCAGTTTATATAGCTTGATTATTTTTATGTTGCTGGAGGTCAAACGAAAGGCCTTGTATATGACAGGCAGGGTCTCTTATCTCGGAACTACATCCATAGATAATGACTATTTTTCAAGTTGATGGCCTAGAAACTACATACATTTCTCCCCAAATATGATCATATTTTAAAATTTAGACTCATGAGATGATCGAGTCATCATACTTCGAGCCATAACACCCTCAACTGCCACACATAATATTGCTTCTCCGGGAAAATACTCTTTCAATCTTCAAATCAACCTCTTGTAGACATGCCTTCCCTGAGAGTGACAAGAATGGCCCCTGGTCATGGGCAGGAAAAAAAGAGTCACAGCTCCTGCTCCTCTTCATAGTCACCTTCCACTCTGAATATTTGAAGAGAAGGTAATTTAAAGTTAATTATCTCCTCCAATGGTTCTAATCCAATGTTCTTGATCCTGCTGTACATCAGAATCATGTAAGAGCTTATTTTTTTTAAAAAAAAAAAAAAAGGTTAATTCCCAGAACCCACTATGGACCAAGTTAACCTCAGTCATTAGGACTACAGCTCTGGCACTAATAGTGCTCATAAGCTTCTAGATGATTCCCAAGTGTTCCAGGGTTGAACCAAAGGCTAATTCTCTCTTCTTACTGCTGCCATTGTTTCAGGTTCTAGCCCTGAGCTCACAGACTGCACAGGACAATGAAGAAATATACTCATTGTTCAGGATATTTCAAAGTAGAAAGGCAGGTAAGCACGCAACGGGACCCAGCTGAGAAAGCTGGTTGGCTTTAAATATGTCATCAGAATACTTCAAAAGCTGTAATGTGAGGACCCCAGATTTTTTCCCACTACTTGCCGCTTTAATGAAATGAGTAAACAGGGTGAAAATACCATTGTGATTATTCTCTCAGTCCCAAAGAGAGAAGATTTCAGATGTGGGAAAATGAGTGGTAAATTGACTATACTTACAAAGGTAAGACCCCCTTCTGGCTAGAATAACCAGGAAAACAGACATATCTTCAAAGCAGATGAAGCTGATGCTCACTCAAGAAGGTATCCTTGTCAGGTGCTGGTGGCTCACGCCTGTAATCCTAGCTACTCAGGAGGCTGAGATCTGAGGATCGAGGTTCAAAGCCAACCCAGGCAGGAAAGTCCATGAAACTCTTATCTCCAATAAACCACCAGCCAACCAGAAGTGGCACTGAGGCTCAAGTGGTAGAGCGCTAGCCTTGAGCTGAAGAGCTGAGGGACAGCGCCCAGGCCCAGAGTTCAAGTCCCATGACCAACAAAAAAGAAAAAAAAAAAAAGAAGGTATCCTTTAGCCAGGGACTGGTGGCTCATGCCTATAAATCCTAGCTACTTAGGGGGCTGAGATCTGAGGATCATGGTTTAAAGCCAGCCCCAGCAGAAAAGTGTGTGAGATTCTTATCACCAATGAACCACCAGAAAACTGGAAGTGGAGCTGTGGCTCAAAGCAGTAGTGCTCTAACCTTAAGCAAAAGAACCCATAACAGCACCCAAACCCTGAGTTTAAGCCCTACGACCAACAATAACAACAACAAAAAAAGGTATCTTTTGGAACCAAATACAAAGGATACATAAGTGTTGTATTCACTGCATGAGCAAGAATGAAGTAAAGATGGAAAAACATAGCTATTTCATTTAAAAACTTAAAAGGAAGAGGGAGAATTTGAAGTAGTCTCTTTCTCCCTTTGATGAACACAAGAAAACAAGAGCAACAATTTATTTTTCCTTCTTTCTCTTTTTTCTTTTTTTTTCCATCTTTCCTTTTTTAAACAACCTCCTCTGTCTTTGTATTTCATGAGCAACCTTTATATGAAGTCAAGGCCCAAAAGTGATGGTTCCTGGTTTCTTAGTATTTTCCCTGCTAGTGACTCCACTTCTTGATCTTAGAGGAATATGCATCTCCAAATCCAAGAACCCTAGGATGTCTTTCGCCATGTGGAAGAATAAATAATAGAATTTAGGCTGCCTAGTCAACCTGCTGGGGATTCAAGGCGGGATTAGCTTCTGCTAAAGAGAAGAGGAGGCAACCTCTCAACCTGTGGAAATTTGGTTGTCCACTACGAATAGTTACTCAGCCTTCCCTGGTCTTTTTTCAGTTTCTCTAAGGACTACTGTTTTTAATTTCCTTCTGTGTCAATCCTTCCACTAATACTAAGTCTTCTTCACTGAACACAAAAACAAACAAAGCAGAGGAGACATCAATTACAAAGGCATTATCCAATGAAAGTGGGACAAAGGCAGAAGAAGGCACAATTCTCTCTGTAGTCTGCCATCTCTCTCCCCTCATGATTGACAGATGTCCTTCATACTAAGCCTAGATGTTCATAGAAGCCACTTAGCAGGATTTGATTTACCAAACACACAGATACACCACACACACACACACACACACACACACACACACACACACACAAATATATAGGTCAGTAGATATAAAAATCACACCACAAATCAGTTTCCACTAATACTATACTACAAATCTCAAGGGAACCAAAGGCTTTACTTTTTGAGCTTTGACACAAGTGATAATGTCTCATGTTTTCCAGAACTGGAGAAACAGGAAGACACTTCAGTTAAAAGATATGGTGTTGACCCAGCATGGAGTTGAAGTTCGGGAGCAGCATTCAAAGCTGTGATACAACTGTAATAGACACATCACAAAAAGAGCTCCTTTTTTGAGATTTTTATAATATTCTTAAAGATGCATATTAAATAATTTCTTCTGGACCACAGACATGATTGAACTTAAAAAATAAAAGCCCTATAAATATTGCCAACCCAACCTCTCCTTCTTTCTGCATCTCCCTTCTTGCATAAAATGGTATCTTTCCAACCAAGCGCTTAAACATAAATATTAAAATAATAAATGGGATAAACTACACATCTACTTACAATTTCATCACTACTGTAGCACCTTTTTGGTTTTTGTTTTTTGTTTTTGTTTTTGCCAGGGCCAACAATGCATTCGTTTTTTTGTAAAGAACAGGAGAAAGCTGAGAAGCTTAAGGACTTACAATGACACATCATTAAATAATTAATCACCTTTTTTTAAGTCCTAAGCCGTTGTCATATTTCATCCATCTAGAGAGAGTTCATCCTATGCTATCGATTCCAAGGTCCCCTCACGAGGGGAAAAAAAGGAAAGAAACTAGGGAGAAAAAACCCTCAAAGAGGCAAGGTTCAATTATCTCAAAGATGACTTTCAATTGCGCTTTAGTGAACTTGCTTCGCCCCTGTAAACCCACCAATCCGCAGCAGGGTCAACCAATTAGTCCATTGCTTTTTTAGTCTCCAAGAATCAGTTTTACAAAAGATGCCACATCTGTTGCTTTGGATTCGTGTAAGGTGAAAAATAGATGTTGCTGAGAGAGAAAAGACAAAAACAATACAGGATATTAATATTTGTCAACGATGATACATGAGATTAGCAAATTCATAGCTCCATTTAATAAACAAATTTACTATCCCTACCAGGGGTAAGCTGGGTTCTTCCGACCCCTTGCAAAATCAAGCACACATTAGTGTTGTAGCTGTTCTGAAGATATCTCTTCCTTCTTGCCTAGATTAACATCTCTAGGTTTCTACGACAAGAATCTGTTGCACTCTGAGTTCTCTGTAAATCCCAATCACGTGAAAATACAAAGATTGGCAAAGGCCATCCAAAACTCTGGCATAGAGACTGCTTACAAAAACACTTTATACTGATATAATAGTAAAATAGTTTGACATTTCAGAGGTCCAGGCACTTTCATTTCGCAAAGAAAGATTGGTAAAATAAGAGGCCAGCTTTGCCCAGCAATAAATGTGCCAGGAAAGCACCTTTGGAAAGCTGGTTCAGAATGAAAGAGTTAAGGCCATTTCCTAAGTCTTAGCCACAGCCAAGAGTTATGCTTATGTCTCTCTCGTGATGAAGAGTTGATCCATCTGGAAAATAACACCGACTGCCAAACTATCGGTATGTACAGAGAAATCTCAACATAGAGAAGTAAACGTTGGAAGGGGGAAAATGGTCTTCATGCACGCAGTTCACATTAAGTAAACTTTAAGGGGAAAAAAATCAAATCTAGACTTGCACTTTGCTAGAGGAAGAGGCAAGGTATGAAGCAAGAAGGCCACCTATTTCAAAAATAATTCACCACTTTTCTCTGCATCCTCCCAACTGTGTAAGAGTGAGGGCCAGGCTGTTACAGTAAAACGTTCTACCTTTAGTTAGAAAGAGATACATTCTGAACACAAGCTGTAGGACAGTGGGCTCAGGACCCGCCAAACAACCCCAGAAGAACAGTTCATTTAGGTAGAGCCTATTGCCACATGTCTACACCCACCCCCACACACCATGGTCTGGAGATAATGTTTCCCAGGGCTAGCTGAAGAGATCACTGTGAGCATTTCTGCACGCAGACTGGGAGATGATTCATTCTGCTTCCCTGACTTGAGGGATTTCGTTTACAACCTTCCTGTGACTTAGCTGTAGGTTTTCCCAACTGCCTTTGCTTTCAGCTTGACCAGGGAAGGTTGGATGAGTCAGTGCTGTGGAGAACTGAATGCCCACCCATGGAAGTTTCAGGAAACAATGCAGTGGAGAAGGAACCGAGAAATAAAACCCAGAAGCAAGGAGGTGGTCGCTGGTAAGGATCATGGAAAGGAGGTCTTCTTCTTGCTCATCAGAGGATACAGGTTAGCTGCTAGCTGATACCCAACAATAGTCACAAGGGTCACTTGCTGCAGGCAAAAGACCTTCACCCTGAGCTCCTCCAACTGCCAAATCATCAAATCATAGCATTGCTTTCAATCACTAACCGCTCACAGAGTGCACTTAACCAAGCATTTTGCCATTACCGGGCCTATTAGCTTTCCCACATCCTCTTGACAGTTGGAGATCTTTTAATGCACTTAAAAAGCCTTTTACTATCAAAACAAGACAAACTTCAGATTGTCCTGGGGATGACTTCTAGTGTCTCCCATTTCCCCCACCCCAGCTCCCCACCTTCCCTCTTGCTTGGTTGCTGCCAGCTCAGTAGATGCAACCTAAGTCCGCATGAATGAAACAACCCCACTTTCATTACATTTAAAAAGGGGGGAAAAATCTTCAAGGATCTTTCCATTTATTCTAGGGCTGAGAAAATGCTGTGAGAGCCACAGGCCAGGGGCCAAGAGGGCAGACATGTCACACGGGAGGTGTGATTTGCTGTCTTGTGTGGGCCTAGAGGCCAAAGAATGCCAGGAGATTTGATGCCTTCTGTCAGCAATGGAATGAGAATAGCAAGGCAAGAGCCTGGAGATGAGCAGATGAGAAGGATGAATAATTCCAGACTGTAGCCCCAGGCTGAGATTCCTTTACATAAGGAACTAAGGACTTTACACCACTTTAGGTTAACTGTAGTGAGACTCCAGGAAGCATCAAGACCCACGGACAAGCTTCTAGGAGCAGAGGGATGGGTTTCAAGCATCAACATGCCTCCAGAATATCCTACAGACAATCCCTTGTCCATCAAAGCTACGTATGGTTTTCATTGTGAGTGTGTGTGTGTGTGTGTGTGTGTGTGTGTGTGTGCGTGCGCGTGCGCTGGTACTGGGGCTTGACCTCAGGGCCCGGGAGTTATCCTTTAGCTTTTTCTGCTCAATGCTGAGCAGAAAAAGTTCCACTTCTGGCTCTCTGGTGGTTAACTGGAGATAAGTCTCTCAGATTTTCAGGCCCTGGATGGCTTTGAACAGGGATCCTCAGATCTCAGCCTTCTGAGTAGCTAGGATTAAAGGCATGAGCCACTAGCACTCAGCAAAACTATGGTTTTCTATAGGTTCAAGCATCCTTATTTCACAATTCATCTAAAATATCTTAAGGCATGTGGAGACTACAATTACCCATCATGTAAATGACCTATCACATGAACGACATGACATGTCATGGCTGGTATTTACCATTGAAGACAGAAGTCAGCAAACTGGCTCACAGGCTGAATGTAGCTCACTGCCTGATCACTGAAGTCTACTGGAACATGACCACACCCTGGCCTTCCTTTCACATACTGAATGTGGTTTTTTTTGTGTGGCAACAGCGAGTTCAATAGTACCACCAATGAGATGGCCCTCACAATACTAAACTACTATCTCAACTTTTACAAAAAAGCAAGCTTATAATAAAGCTACCACCTCTGGAAGAACAAATCCTACAGTGACCTCCTCACTCCCTGTCAGGAGAAGTTCCAGATGATTTAACTAGATATTTCATTGAAAATGAGCTATACAACTTGTGGGTAGCAATGGGAGGGGAAAACTGGGAGAGAGAGAGAGAGAAAGAGAGAGAGGAAGGGAGAGAGAGAGGGAAGGGGTAACATTGTCCAAAAAGAAATGTACTTATTACCTGACCTCTGTGACTGTAATCCTTCCTCTGTATATCATCTTTATAATAGCAATTTTAAAAAATTAATGAAATGATTTAAAAGTTTGTACAGTCCCTCTATACAATACTTTAATAATAACAATAAAATTGTATATTGAAAAAGTATGTGTGGCTGTCCATCTTAATTAGGATGAAAATCATTTGGGAAGAGACCTGGGGTGTGCCTCTGATGGACTAGTATATTACCTTTCACCCAGAAAAAAAATGATGGTTTTTCCTCCCTAACTCTTTATGAATTCCTGAAATCTAAATAATAGCCACCCACCATGTGTTTCCCAATGGACTCAGATTTTCCATTTAAAAAACCTCAATTCCACAGGAAAGCAGGGAATAGCAATGGGCTTAAAAGGCAAGCTGATTTCCAGGACCACAGAGATTAATGTCATGAAAAGAAGAGGCAAACCCACACCATTTGACAACATCGATGTGTTTGCCAAAAACATCAGTGTTTGTTAGAACATAAAGGGGAGAGAAAATTCAACATCAGCAGGCCAATGTATAGTAAGCATTTCTTTTTCTTTTTTTTAAATGTGTTCTGATGACACTTCTGATAAGAAGCCACTGTGAAGGGGGGTAGAGTGGAGAACGTTTTGCATGTAAAAATGGCTAGAACTCAGCACCAGGCCCTGAGTTCAAGCCCTACAGCCAACTCCCCCACCCCACCCCCCCAAAAAATGGTTGGAACTATACACAAAAAATATAATTTTATCTGAAATTAATTACAACACAAGGAGACTTTAAATCAGATTCCAAATTCTTTAGAATTCTTCAGGAATCACTGAATGTCTCTCATACTTGGTGTGAAATTCATTTTAAAATGCCTTAGAGGTCCCCCAAGCATTCCACCAAGGTCAGCCAGAACTGAAAAGACTTTGAATGACCATTTTTAAAAATAATAATAATAATAGGAAGTAGTGCTGTGGCTCAAGGGGTAGAGCGCTCACCTTGAGCTGAAGGGCTGAGGGACAGCCCAAGTTCAAGCCCTAAGACCAACAAAAACAAAAAACAAAACAACCAAAATAATAATAATAACAATCAGGGAGAAAATATTCAACCCAAGTATGTAGAGTGCTAGGATTGTCTCAATTATTACTCATCTTGTTGTTTTCTTTTTTCCTTTCTTAATTTTAGGTCTGAGGGGAATAAAGCTGTTGAGTGTTGAGCCCTGGGTTATGTTCTTTAAAAGGAAACAGTGGAGACCCAAGGAGATGATCCTGACTCCAATTCATCCAACTGGAGAATAATCTCGACTTAAAAAGAACTGAAAGTCCACATGACTGGCTGTGATACTCTCACTTGGCCCTGGACCATGTTCTGTGTAACTCTTGTGACTTGACACTTCCAAGCTGTTTCTCCACACATCACCACCACCTCGCCATTCCATCTGGTTTAGGACCCTGCACATCTCTGCTACCCTGAGCTGGGCATGAAGTCAGCTCAGATGTTGGACAGCAAAGAATGGGAGTGAACAACATTCCGAGACTACCGATAACCACTTCGTACAGAAAAGACATTCTCAATGCTTTTTCTTCTTTCTTTTGAAATTGGACACGAGTGCTAACTCTCTCCTTCCTCTGCTAAAAATTCAAACCTTAATTACGAGGGGGTAGAGGTTAAAAACACTGAGTCGGTCCTAAATGGTCTGAATAGTCTACCTCTCCCCAAAATATGCTTACCTCACTTTCAAAAAGGGCTTAGATAGAATAGAGGGAAGGTCAAAATCTTGTCCATCTGCACCAAAGAATCATTTATTGATAGCTTAAAACACTGATGACTACCATCTAAGGGAGACTACTTTAAAATAACAGCAGTAAGCTTTGTTTTCATCTCTCTTTTCACTAATGGAACAAGTGATTATGAATGGATTCAAATTAAGAATGGTTTATCATAGTGTGTTTCCATTCATGTAAAGGCCAAGAGAGAAAAGTGATTCTTTTCTTCAACTCTGTCACCACCAAAATGAAGTCCATCTAATTAATCCCAACTATTTCATCAAAAGATGGTGCCCAATATATAACTTTTATTGTTGTTGTTGGATGTGGAGGCTGAACTCTGGGCCTGGGCACTGTCCCTCAGCTCTTCAGCTCAAGGCTAGCACTCTATCACTTGAGCCACAGAACCACTTCTGGCTTTTTTCTGCTTATGTGGTACTGAGGAATCAAACCCAGGGCCTCATGCATGTGAGGCAAGCGCTCTACCACTGAGCCACCATCCCAGCCCCCACTATATAACTTTTAAGTGTCTCTTATCATTTGATTCTCTTTCAGTCATGCTTTCCTTGATTTCATTTATTTCCTTTTTGGGGGACCCATACTGGGGTTTGATCTCAGGGCCTTGTATGCTCATTTATATTTGTTTGTTTGTTTGTTTGTTTAGCTCAAGGTTGACACTCTACCACCTGAATCATACCTCCACTTCCAGCTCTTTGTTGGTTAGTTGGAGATAAGAGGCTCACAGATTTTTCTACCCAGGCTGGCTTCAAACTATGATCCTCAGATGTCAGCCTCCTGAACAGCTAGGGTTACAGGCGGGAGCCACCAGCACCCAACTTTCTTATGTTTATATTGTAATTTCTAACCACAAGAATCTTTTAAATTTGAAATTATAATTCTATAGACATAACTCAGTCTATATCATGACAGGTTTATCAGCCTACAAAAAACTTGCTGGAAAAGGTGACATGATCCTACTTTGTATTAAATGCTGCAATAAAACCCCCTTGAACAAATAATAGTTTGCAAAAGGATGTACAATGAATAAAGGACTCCTAACTCTTTTCCTTAAATCTAATCCCTGTTAATCATATCTCAGTGGATCAACTTGTCTAATGTGATGATTTAATTACAACAAAACTACTTCACTAGTTACTACTTTGGATCTATTTATTTATTAATTTGGATTTGTTATGGCTAATACTCACCATAAGCTCTGGATAGGTAGGCCGTTCTTTGGAATTCTTCTTCAAGCTGAACAACAACAACAAAAAAAAGAATCACATTAAACTCTAGAACCTATCTTTCAGAAAACTAGAACTGGCAACCCACAGAAAATTGATTTAACTACTTTAACTACAGTAGTTAAAAGTGTATGGAGAAACCGAGCACAGGGGGCTCACACCTATAATTCTAGCTACTCAGGAGGCTGAGATCTGAGGATCATGGTTCAAAGCCAGTCTGGGCAGCAAAGTGCATGAGACACTTATCTCCAATTAGCCACCAGAAAACAGAAGTGGCACTGTGGCTCAAGCGGTAGAGTGCTTACCTTGAGCTGAAGAGCTGAGAGACAGCACCTAGTCCCAGAGTTCAAGCCTTACGACCAACCAAAAAAAAAGAAAGTGTATGGAGTACAAGGGCCTCCTATTTGGCCTTCTGATGCTGCTGCTATACTTACAAATAATGTCTTCAATCACTACGAATGTATCTTTTTAAAAAAATAGAAGTTTGTGTATATGTGTGTCGTGTTGTATTCACTTTCCTTTGATACTTTACCAGTGACATTCAGACTAACTTTTCTGACTTACAGCCATTTTCCTTCTGAATACCATTCAATCCTACCCCCAACTGGCAAAGAAATGGGCAAGTGTTCCCTAGATAATACACTCATTATCTCTCCTATATCTTAAACTACTTGGTTCTCCTTGATTCTAGTTCCCTTGAATTTATATGTAATTTCCTTGTGTGTGTGTATGTGTGTGTTTGTGTGTGTAATGGTACTGGGGCTTGAACTCAAGGCCTGGTATGCTGTCCCTTAAGATTTTTACTCAATGCTGAAGCTCTACCACTTAAACCACCTTTTTTGGTGGTTCATTACATATGAAAGTCTCCTGGATTTTCCTGTCCAGGCTAGATTTGAACCTTGATCTTCAAATCTCAGCCTCATGAGTAGCTAGGATTACAGGTATGAGCCACCAGTGTCCGACTATAATTTGTTTTCATATATTCCTAACTAAACCCATCACATTTCTAAGACAACACTACTTCTTTACTTCATCCTTGCTGATAAAAGAGCAAAGCACATTTAGTCAGCAAGTCAGCAATTACTCTTCTTAAGACATACTTTGCAGTCATGCACTACTAACAAGTGGTTGTTTGGATCTCTGCATACATAGACATTTAATAACATTGGATACTAGAGGCAATAATAATAAAATTGCAAGATGAAAGAGACCAGCCCTTCACCCCTGTCCTCAACCCACCCCCAGAGAAAACTTATAATCCCACATTACAGAAAGGAGAAAAATTATGGTTTACAAGTTATCCTGTGCACACTGGGCCACAAAATCATACGGGAATGGAAAGGAACTGAGCCTGGTATTGAAGGAAGTCAAATGTGACTAATGATTAGGTTGCTAGGAGTTGTGCTAGCGGGTCATTTTGAGGAGCTGAGAACTCACCATGAAAGGGCAAAGTGCAGAACTATGAGAAAATGAAGCCATTGAGACACTTGGAAGATTTATGGTTTAATAAACAAGATGAAAAGGAGGGAGGGTTTGTGTTCATTTCTGTGTTGAACTAAAACAGCTTAAAAGCAGCCTACCAGTTGATTCCAGGCAGTGTGGCAGGTAGATGCCAGGGAATGTGAGACAGAACACAGGTAGATGTGAGGACAGAAGTTGCAACCTGGGATGGAGGGCAGACCTAGAACCTACGTGAGCTCAGAGACCACACAACTTAGGGAAGAAAGTCCATCTCGACTGAGAATAAAAATAAGAGGAATGGCTGGCCACTCTCAATGTTGGATTGACATGGGAAGGTGTGCCTGCGTGAAATGGATGAATAACTTCACGTGTGCTTTGCCAGCTACCTGGATCCAGAGAGCCCGTGTCAGTGGGTCTCACCTGGAGGTGATCTGACCCACAGGGGGACATTTGGCAATGTCTGGAGTCACTTTGGGTTGTCATAACTAGTGGCCAGATTGCTCCTGGCCCCCACTAGGTAGAGCCTGTGGTGGTTGATGACCATCCTATAAATGAGCCACTCCAAAATGCCCTCTGCACCAAGGGCAGGAAACCCTGGATGACATGTCCTAGGGGAGATCTTCCTACTCTAACCTCCTATCATCTTCTCTGGGTTGCAATCTGGTCATTCATGGGGCTTGAACTCAGGGTCTGGGCACTGTCTCCGAGTTCTTTTGTTCAAGGCTAGTGCTCTACCACTTGGAACAGCAGCAACCACTTCGGGTTTTCTGGTGGTTAGCTGAAGAGGTTCACAGACTTCCCTGCCCAGACTGGCTTCAAACCACAATCCTCAGATCTCAGCCTCCTGGAGTAGCTAATTGGAGGCCTGAGCCACCAGCACCCAGCTTGCAATGTAAGTTGCAAGTAATAGCTGGTTCATCTGCAATATGGGCACATTAGTGTCATCACTACCACTTCCTGCCTCTCTATTCCTTTCCTCCATTTTTCTAGAAGCAAAGTTTTTCTCAGTTCAGGAGCTAGTTCAAAGAAACACAGAGGAAACGTGATCTGTGGGCACTGCTCATTTGCATACAGATGCTGTGTAAAAAATAATGTAGAAAAGCCCTGAATTTCTAGCTCTTATTCAAAGCCAACCAAAGGCCAGAAATTCTTTTCTAAAGGCTGAACAATTTAACCTGCTAAATCAACAGCAAGATGCAGAAACATAACATAAAATCCCGTCAAGGGATTTGCTTCCAGTGTTTCTGTTTGGACCTTAATTGCATATTAAAATTGATATGCTTCTTTTTTTTTTTAATGCTGGTCCTGGGGCTTGAGATCTGGGCCTGGGTGCTGTCCCTGAACTCCTTTTGCTCAAAGCTAGCACTCTACCACTTGAGCCACAGTGCCACTACTAGATTTTTCTGTGATTAATTGGGAAATAAGAGTTTCACAGACTTTCCTGCCTGGGCTGGTTTGAACTGTGATCCTCAGGTCTCAGCCTCCTGAGTATCTAGGATTACAGGTGTGAGCTCACACACACACACACACACTCACCTAGCCTGTGTCTGGCTAAAGGAATAATCAGCCAGATCAGTGCTGTTTCTCAAATGTTCAAACAATAGCTTCTTCACCAAGGATCTTTGTAATATCACTTACTGTTGAACCTCTACATCAGTACATAATGTAAGGAATCCCTCTCTTCGCAATAGAAGCAGAGGAAGAAGGGCTTAAACTCTTCCACTTTTAATTTACAATAATTTGAGCCAAGTTATCTTATCATTTCACTGACATTAGTGGTCAAGGGAATTTTCTCCAGAAATATTCTTTCATTTAAAAGTCTGTATTTAAAAAAAAAAAAAGTACCCCAAGTTGATCATAAAGTGTTTCATATTCCTGAAAACTCAGAGTTTGCTAGTCAAGGGACCACTTTTTTTATTTATACCCTTCTTTTGTGTGTGTGGCAATACTGGGGCTTGAACTCAGGGCCTGGGTGCTGTTGCTTAGCTTGTTTGCTCAAGACTGGAAGTCTTCCACGTCAGGCTCTTTGGTAGTTAACAGGAGATGAACCTCCTGGATTTTCCTGCCTTGGCTGGCTTTGAAGTGTGATCCTCAGATCTCAGCCTCCAGAGGAGCTAGGATTACAAGTATGAGGCTCCAGCACCCAGAGATTTATACCCTTGATTAAAAAGGAAAGTTTACCCAAAGCTCTACTATAGCATACTGATGGGGAAGGAAAAAAAAAAGAGCAAAGCAATGTTGTTTATTGAATTCCTACAATCAATAGAACCCATTTTCTCCATCTTTTAACTTAAGAACACTTCAAAACATTCACTAACAATCGCAAAATACCCAAGATAGGGTTATAGGTGGGGGAAGGAGGGGTATATTTTTCCACATCTAATAGGAAGAGCTCGAAACTCAGTATAAAATAACCACTTCAAAGTTCAAAGCTACCCTAATTTCTTTTGGGATTTAATTCCAGACGTCTGAATTTTCACGTAGCTTGTCATTTTTCAAGCACACAATTGGCTAACTGCCCTAATTCCTCTCCAAATGCCACAAAACACGCTTCTAACCGTAGCTGACACTAAAACCCAGCTTCGTGCAGCCTTGAGAATTGCTAGCCTGGACTTTGTGCTGACCGGAAGATTTCTGCACATTTGAATTCCCACTGACCATTTCCAAGAAGGACTATTTGGTCTGTCCACAGAATAAAAACACATCGAGCCTCTCCAGCCATACATATGTCAAAAGCTAAATAAATATCCAGTGCCTCTTTTTATTGTCCTTTCTGAACAAGCTGGAGACAATTGGAGTTGTCCCTGGTGTATACTCATTTTCCTGAGTCAGATAGTATTGACCACTGGAAGAGTCCCTAACAAACTCCAATAGGCCTTGGTGCTGGTCAGATGGGCCTTGAGTCTCTTAAATAAGCCTGGAAGGAAAGCAAAAATAAGTCTAGCTATTTTCCCAGAGGGTATTGATTTGCAGTGACTTCTTCTATGAACCTATGGAAAGCAGCTACGATGAAAACCTAAGGCTGCTACAAATCCACTAGATAGAGAAACTCATTTGTTAACCCTTCCGTAAGGCTAGACTATAAGGTTTTCTATTCAATTCCCCTGTGATGAATCTCAAAACAAAGCGTATGTGTGTGGTTGACACTACCCGCCTGAGGAACTCAGAAAAGAATACATACAGGAAAAGGAAGATGAAAACACCACTCACTAGTCCTCTTTGAAAAGAAGTACAGGAGGGAAGAATTTGTAGGCAGTCATTGTTTCTTCGAGTTTAGAAGGAATCAGTCCCATACTTCCCTATCTTCCTTCCTTCTTTACCTTTTCTGGTGTTACTACTGCACAAGAAATGCAGCCTATAAAATCTGGACTCTAGAGCTCACTTCAAGTCTGATGAGGAAACCTGTAAGTGCTTTCTTCGCCAGTCCAGAGACTGACTTGCCATCACCTGACACAAAGGTGGGCCTTCAGGCAGTGGCTACCAAGCCGACCCGTGTGCACAGGTATGCAGGCACCATGCACAAAGGTAAGGTGATCCAACGCCTAGGCAAGCATTCATCCCAAAGGAGGCCCCAAATTCTCCAGCCGATTCCCCAGGAGAAGGGGGATGCATCCTTCCTCTACCTTCAATCCAAATACAGACATCAGGCCTTAACACATGGCCCTATGCATCTTGAATTTTGAGATTCAAAGCCTACTTTCTAAGCCTGTAGTCCTTTGTTCCTGCTTCTCATCAAGATGTGAGATACTGTGGGGAAGTTGTGAAGGATCGCCGCTGGGCTGTGTTGTACGATGCAACGCAGCAGGCATATTATACAGACAAGTTTTTGTAGGGGAGGTATGGCTCAAGTAGTAGAGCACCATCCATGAGGCCAGAGCTAAACAAGAACAAGAGATCCTGAGTCAGAGCCCCAGTAAAAGCAAAGAGGAAGAGGGGAGGAAGGGAGGGAGGGGAAAGAGAGGGAAAGAGAGAGGAAGGGAGGGAGGGAAGGAGGGAGAGAGGAGGGGAGGAAACAAGGAAGGAAGGAAACAAGGAAGGAAGCAAGCAAGCAAGCAAGCTTCAATGGTACAGCTTTACTTTATGTGTGTGCATGTGCCAGTACTAGGGTTAAACTCAGAGCCTCTTTCTTGCTTAGTTTTTCTCCTCAAGGCTGGCACTCCACCACTTGAGCAACACTTCCACTGCCATCATTTTGCTCCTTTATCAAAGATAAGGGTCTCTCAGATTTATCTGTCCAGCCTGGCTTCTAACTGTGACTCTCCTATCTCAACCTCCTGAGGAGCTAGGATTATAGGCATGAACCTCTAGCACCAAGCTATTCAACAGTACAGATTAGGATCAGGAAAACAGAAGACTAGCCTATAGCAGGAGTTCCACTCATAGACTCTATTCTTCTCTTTATCAAGAAATAGGTGTTCTTTGGTAACAATAAAGAAAGAGTGAAGCACTTCAAGTGCATTAACTAGAGCGTTGCTGAGTGGAGGTGTATGCCCATGTGTTAATATTTATGAGGGAGAAAAAAAGACATTTCTTCCATAAAGAAGTTGGTCTATAAAGCCAGTCATAAGATCTATAAAAGAAAAATATCAGTGCAATTTTCAACTCCATTGGCTTCAAAATAATTTAATGCTCATCCTTAGGGGGTAGCGAAGAAAAATACTTCAGTGGTTTATGGCAAGCAGAAACATTAATGTCGTGGGAACTGGAGGCTCTCCTAAAGCCTAGCTGAGGAGAAGTAAGAATGCTCATAAAAGTCAGAATGAATGCTTTCCTGCCATTTCCAAACTCCCATCTCACCAGGAGTGACTCGCCAGTGTACGAAGCTGCCCTTCCCCAGGATCAGATTCTACCAGCGCTGTCAGCTGCAAAGCTGGCCAGAGGAAAAAAAATCTGCCCATTGGCAACTTTGAAAGTGAAATGATTTGTGGGTTGTTTTTTTTTCCCTTACTGTTATCATGGTCAATAAACCGCATGAAGAAGGCAAGTCTTGACATAGGATAAAACAAGGTTCACAGAAGGGAGGGGGGTATCCCCGAAAGCTGGAACACATCTATAGCTCAAAATACTTAAATGAATGGATTATGGTAACTGAGATCAACTAGAGAAATGAAGCTAGATCTCCGAGGGACAGCCGCCATGCTGACATTATAGGTGCAGGTGGGAGAGGGGGAGGAGGTATCGTGAGAATCACAGCAATGTGGGCATCTGGGAGCACCATACGTGACAAGGCTTGGTTTTTGTTTTTCTTGATAGTTTTTCTTTTGTTGGGTCTGTGTGTGTGTTAGAGAGAGAGACAGGGAGGGAGGGAGGGAGAGAGAAAGAAGAGAGAGAGAGAGTATGCTGGAGATCATACCCAGGGCCTCACAGAGGACTCTACTACTGAATTATAGTCCCAACCTCAAGGTCTTCATGTTTTAAATACCTGTTAAAAGGGGATGGAGGAAGAAAAGCCACCTGCTAGTGGTTCACGCCTGTCATCCTAGCTACTCAGGAGGCTGAGAACTGAGGATCATGGTTCAAAGCCAGCGTGGGCAGGAAAGTCCATGAGACCCTTTTCTCCAATAAACCACTCAGAAAACCAGAAGTGGTGCTGTGGCTCAAGTGGTAGCGCACTAGCCTTGAGCTGAAGAGCTGAGGGACAGCACCCAGACCCTGAGTTCAAGCCCCACGACTGACAAAAAAAAAAAAGAATGCCTGAAAAAAAACAATAGAGGCTGGGAAGGTGGCCCAGTGGTAGAGTGCTTGCCTTGCATGCATGAGGGCCTGGGTTTGATTACTCAGCACCACATAAGCAGAAAAAGCTGGAAGTGGCGCTATGGCTCAAGTGATAGAGCACTAGCCTTGAGCTGAAGAGCTGAGGGACAGCGCCCAGGCCCAGAGTTCAGGTCCCATGACCGGACCCCCCAAAAAAAATAATAATAATATTTAGAATTACTGAAGGCAAGGTTTAGGGGACAGTACTTCTGAAAGCCAGCTAGAGATTTATAAAAAGCCAGAGTTAGCCAGGTGCTAGTATCTCACACCTCTAATCCTAGCTACTCAGAAGGTTGAGATCTGAGGATTATGGTTCAAAGCTAACCCAGGCAGGAAAGTCCATGAGACTCTTACCTCCAATAAACCACCAGAAAATGGGAAGTAACACTGTGATTCAAAGTGGTAGGGCACTAACATTGAATGAAAGAGCTCAGGGACAATGCCCAGGCCCTGAGTCCAAACCTCATAACAAAAAAAAAAGAAGAAGAAGAAAAATCACTGGATGAAACTCGTAGTTAACAAAGAATGACTCTGCTTTCTGAAACTTAGCACCGATATCTTAACTCTTACCGATGTTTCCTAAAATATTCCCAGGTCAAGGACAAGAAGACGGACGATCTGGAGAGACCTCCCCAGGGAAGATCCTCCCCACCTTACTGCCCCTTCGAGAACCATGGGTGTCAACTATCCAAGATGACTAACCCTTTACCAACTTGAGGATAAAGTGATGGGTGGAGGGGGGGGGGCAGAGGAGGGGGGCAGGAGTGGAGAGTGGAGGAAGAAAGTAAAGCAAAACAACAAAAACCAAGGACTTTCCATCGAGAAGGAAAACCATGGCTCTGTTTTCAAGGGGGCTGATATATCACCTTCTTCACAAGAGAAGGAGACAGACATGAAGGCACACCTGAAGAGAGTTTAGAGGCATTAGAGCTTATGGTGGCCATTCAGCCCAAACCAAAACAAACCCTTGTTGGTCGGCCAGCCTCATGAATCATTAAAGACAAGCCACATGGGTGAAAAGGGACTTAAGACAAACACACTTCATGAAAGTTCCAGAGGAACTTAGTTTCATAGAAATACCCAGTTGCTTTAAGCTGGATTCAAGGCACTTTTTCCCAAAGAACAAACTAATACAAAGCCAAGGAAGGAGACTCTGGACGTGTTACCCTGAAGAGCTTTTGGCTTTTCCAAGTCCTTCTAGATCAACAAAGTGGCCAATATTACTCCCCTCCCAAAATCACTGCGGACATTGCTACTAGCTGGGCCCCTCCTTCCTACCCCTCCTCCAGCTTCCCATATAAACCAACTCCATTTCACTTTGTGTTTTATACTTGATTTCCTTCATTCCACGGCACTGTCATTACCGCCAAGCCCTATCCAGCAACCCCTACCCCCAGCTACCGTGTAGAATATGCTAGCCCCTCCCTAACGTTCCTTGAATGCATTTGTAATGTCCATGGAAACAAAAAGTTTGCAACAGTCATGTGGCTCTTTCCATTCCAAGATTCTCTCCAGACTCCTAGCCCTGCCTACTATGCCTTACTGGGCAAGTTGATCCATAGTTATCCAATGTTTGTAGACTGCTGTTGTACAAGAGTTCCAGTACTATTGTGGTACCCGCTGACCTCCCAGGAAGTAATTCTTGGCATCAATTTCCCCATCCTACACTTCCAGCAGGTCTATTTACGCTGTAATTGACCTTAGATTGCTGACAGCTTTCAGGGAGCAGTTTCTTTTTTGTGTGTCCCTATGGGTTACAAGTGCTCCTTTGGTTTAGAATATCTTTCCTTCTCTATTTCCCACTCATTTGGAAAATCTCTCCTGAATCTTCAGCTCAGGATTCATCTTCTTCAGGAAAACAAAACAAAACAAAAAAAAAAAAACTCTCTCAATGCCTTTCCTAGGAGTTCCCCCCCCCCTAAAAAAAATACCCTAAAAATATCTATAGCTTTGGACCTGTCAACTTACAATGATGTACCGCTGGACCTATCAATTTATGAGGCTTGGCTGGTAAACTCAGAGCTCAGAGATGGCAGAGAACGGGATGTAGCCACAGTGTTCCCCAGAATGGAAGGCACAGATAACAGATGCTTTTGAAATGATAGTGTTTGATGGATAGAACCCAATAGAGGTGATCCCTGAGCAAGCCTGGTGTTCAGCGCTGGCCCGGGGGCGCCCTTACCACTGTGAGGTAAAGTCAACAAACTCTGCGGAGAACTTGTCGGCTGGGAGTTGCGGTGATGGCTCTTCAACCACCTGTTTGAGCTGCTGAAAGGGAGTGCCCCATGAATCATAGGGAAACCGGAGAATAGCCAGCTCGATCTAGAAAGGAGAAGAAACAAGTGAGCACCAGGGGAAAGAGCTCCCTAGAGGATCAGCTGTGTTCCATTCGAGGAGAATCAGCCACGTCAAAGGTGAAATTCAGGTATGAGTAGAGAGGGGAAAAAAATTAAACTAATAACTTATTCTGCAGCAATTTTCCTTCACATTCCTAATGCTGGAGATTATTTTTTTAAACCATATATCTTACTAGGGACAGTTATTTAAACCTTTCTAAAAGGTTTCTCCAGCATACTACATAAAACAATTATGTCAGCCAGGTGCCAGTGACTCATCTCTATAACCCAAGCCACCCAGAAGGCTGAGATCTGAGAATCAAGGCAGCCTGGACAGACAAATCTACAAAAGATTTATCTACAATTAACCAGCAAAAACCTAGATACAGAGCACCAGCCATGAGCAAAAAAAGTTAAATGAGACCCAGCACCAAACCAAATATAAATACTTATATATACATACTGAGACATATATAATAAAATGTATGAATAGGCTTTAAGATCTAAAGGAACCAGGTTTTCACACATTTGGTCCAAAAAGGAATTGTCTGACTTCTGCAGAACTGTTCCTTTGCTGCCACCTGCAGGTCACTTGGTGAAAAGGAAACATTAAAAAAAAATTTTTAAAGTAGCCTAGGACCAAATGACTCATCTCTTTTTGGACTTGAGTAAAGGCCACTTTGCCGTTATAGGGTCACGTGTTTTCTGGGCAGGAATAACTCCTGGGATTGATCATCTGCTGTGTCTGGTCAGGAGCCTGGACCACAGTGGATAATTCCAGACCTTGGAGATACACTAAAAACTGATGATCTACAAAATTATGAATAAGGCACTAATGGTTCCGCTGTAGGAGTGGGATAAGGACGTTACTCTATTGGTTATTGTAATGAGGCTATATCTAACCTAAACTGCCAAGACTTTTTTTTTTTTGGTCAGTTGTGGGGCTTGAACTCAGGGCCTAGGAGCTGTCCCTGAGCCTCTTTGTGCTCAAGGCGAGCACTCTACCACTTCTGCCACAGCGCCACTTCCAGTGTTTGAGTGGTTGATTGGAGATAAGAGTCTCAAAGGGACTTTTCTGCCCAGGCTGGCTTCAAACCACGATCCTCAGATCTCAGTCTCATGAGTAATTAGGAATACAGGTGTGAGCCACCGGTGCTGGCCAGCCAAGATTTTTATATAAAATTAAGTTAGAATCACAGCCAGGTCCTAAACAACACGGTGGTCACACCAGAATCTACACATGTCAGGACCTTTGGTGTAGCTTAGGCTTCTTGCCTTGATTGACTAATGTAGTTGAAACCGAAAGAAATGTATTCAGACTTTCTTGCTTTACAGAGGAAGAAAAGAGAAAGCCCATGTCACTCAAGGGGATACCACTGGTAAGAAAGAAGCAGAATAAAAGTTGGCTGACCCAACCCACTCCAGAATTTCTACTAAATCATATTTCAAACAATTAACACACAAGGAATCCTGGGTACTCAGGAGGCAGCAAGAGGAGGATCATGGTTCAAGGACAGCCCAAGCAAACAAGTTAGTAAGACCTCCCCCTCCTCACCTCAACACATAAGCCGAGGCACAGTGGTAGGATAATCAAGTTGTAAAATCAGCCATGGACAAAAAGTAAAGAAAACCTATCTGGAAAAAAATGACTACAAGCAAAGAAGGGCTAGACATGGCTGAAGCAAAATAATGACTGACTGCAGAGCAAGTGCACGGCTCCGAGTTCAAAACCCCAAAGAATCACCTCCCACTGCATACTATAAAGGATGTCCAACACTCACGCTGATACATCTACTCCATGGTCCCCAAACCCACCCCATCCCAGACTCATGCTCAGAATCTCAAAGCCCCACGCCGAGTCTCATACGCTACCATGGTGATGCCTAGACTCCAAATGTCAGACTTCACACTGTATCCCTTCTGGTTGAGCTCTGGATTTATTCTTTCAGGCTGGAAAGAAGATAAACAACTGAGAAACAGGAAAGACAAGCGACATTTGTAGCACCATAGTGACTCAGGGTGGGGTGGACAGATCCAGCTTTTAAGTTGTTAGAATGCCTCCCAGATCATGCAATATTTCAGTGGGTTTTCTTTTCTTTTTGTTCATTTTTTTCTTAAGAGACAGCAATTGATCAAAGGACTTTCATAACAAATTTTAATGTTGCTTTAAAAAGAAACAGGTGGGGGCGGGGGGAAGGTGGCTCAGTGGTAGAGCGCTTGCCTTGCATGCTTGAGGCCCTGGGTTCGATTCCTCAGCACCACATAAACAGAAGAGCAAATACAAAAAGGAAGGAAGGAAGGAAGGAAGGAAGGAAGGAAGAAAGAAAGAAAGTGGTGCACACTACAAAATACTGACTAGCTAAATACACCTTAAGCCCAGAACTCAGTGGAAAGAACCCATAGGAATTCTTAGGCTACTGTCTGGAGTTCAACAGATCTATCCAATTTTTGTTGTTGCTTTTTTTTTTTTTTTTTTGGTCAGTCATGGGGCCTGAACTCTGGGCCTGAGCGCTGTCCCTCAGCTCTTCAGCTCAAGGCTAGCTCTCTACCACTTGAACCACAACGCCACTTCCGGCTTTTTCTGTTTATGTGGTGCTGACGAATTGAACCCAGGGCCTCATGCATGCAAGGCAAGTGCTCTACCACTGAGCCACCTTCCCAGCCCAGATCTAACCAATTTTTAAGAAGCTTCTCAGTTCCAAGTAGAGCACAGTGCTCGATCTTTCAGCCAAAGAGAATCCCAGTGTCTCTGTTGATGGCAATGAATCTTCACAGTGATGGGGTTTGCTCCTGACTAAGCCAACTGTCCTGTGCAGGGAAGTTAAATTCTCCCTGCTACTGTGTTCCCAACCTACAACTCAGTGTGGAAAATCATGCAGTCAGTAAGTATTTCTTATATGTATTTCGGATGTATCCCATTTATCATACTATTGAGAGTAATATATAAATTAAAATCTGACGGTTTATGTCCATCAAAATCAAAGTCTCAATCATTTCACCCAGGTGACCATACAGGAAGTGCTAATGAGACTATCAGTGCAGCCTGCAGCTGGGTTAGTGCCTTTATAAAAGAAGCTATGGGAGTCCCTCATCCCTTCTACCATGTCAGGACACTAGAAAGCAGTGCAGAGGTTCCTCAAACAATTAAACACAGAGCCACCCTGTGATCCAGCAATTCCATCCCCTGAGCATTTACCCAAAAGATGACAAACCAGGATACAGTAAAGTCACTGGCACAACCATGTTTACTGCATCACTATTCACCATAGCCAAGGTATGGAGTCAGCCCAGATGCCCCTCAATGGATGCATAGATCAAGAAAATGTGGTACGTGTGTGTGTGCGTGTGTGTGTGTGTGTGTGTGTGTGTGTGTGTGTATGAATTTTACTCATCCATTAGAAAGAATAATATTGTTCCATTTGTAAATAAGTAGAACGACTTAGAAAAAAATATGCTAAGTGAAGTAAATCAGGTCCAGAGAGACAAGGGATGCATGTTTTCCCTTACATGTAGAAACTAGATTGAGCTTACAAACTTATAAGTAAACTCATCAGGTGGCATGCAAGTGTATGCAAATGTTTTAACTGAAATACAGTAGATTCAAGGGAGATCTCAAATCGTGAATTCTCTAGAAACCAAAATCAAAGTTCAGCCAAATAAAACACCAGGAAGTGGGTCTTCAAAAAGGGTGGGATGGGGTTGAGGAGGAAGGAGTAGACAAAGAGGAGAAGAGGGGACAGAAACACAGACAAGAATCCAATGTGTATCCTACAAAATTAAGAAGAGTCGGGGGGAGTAGTAGGGGAGAGATGGGGGAGAAGGTGGAAAGGTGACATTGATAAAGATGCACTCCATTCATCATTTGTTACATTCATTTGTTAAATGGCAGTTAAACTTATGATAACAAATTTATAATAACAAATTGAAAAATAAAAGTGGCAAGCTTCTGAGTATTTTGTATCTGAAGTATTCAAAGAAACAAAATGATGCAGAATATCTTAGGTTTTGAACACATTTCGCTTTTCCCTCTGAGGCCATTCATTTCCTAGTTTCCAGCATATTTTTTTTTTCTTTAGATAGAGTCACTTCTAGTTGCCACCATCCCCCTTTCTCTCCCTCCCCACCCCCCCCCCCCGCCACCTCCTCTATACTTACGGCCATATATGGTTTGCAACCTGCATCAATTGTTTTTGCAACAGAGTCGACCAGGTAGCCACTGATTCCAAAATCACACATCTTCACTTGGCCCAAAGTGTTAATCAGTACATTAGAAGGCTTGACGTCTGAAAGCAAGAACAACCAGCATTCCAACACATCAGCTTGCTTTGCAGATCCATTGTACTACCAGCAGAGGGCGTGAAGTCTACGTCAGTCCTTCAACTGCCCTTTTCTCCCAACACAAATGTGTGTACCCATTGTCCCAGCGCCCGAACTACATACTGTTTCTAGTAGTTGGGTGCGTCTTTCTTCGTGTTTTGTCAGTGTCTGACAGACTTAGGAATCACCACATGGAAAGATCTGTTTCTTCTTGACCTAGCACTTTTTTCTACTACCTTTATACATAAGAACTTAAAGACAGATCACCATGGACTTCATTGAATATTCAGTTGAAAATGATATTTACTGTGTATTTAGTAAGAGAATAAAAAATCCAGGAATGAAAAGACTAATATAGTAAACACAGCTTAAGCCTGTAATCTTATCTACTCAGGGGTCTGACATCGTGGTTCAAAGCCAACATTTTTATCTCCAATTAATCAGTTAAAAAAAAAAACTTGCAATTTCCCGGGATCAACCTATGAATACTGGGGTTACAGGTATATTCCAACATGCCTGGCTATTGTTCCTATATACATCTTCAGTATCCCAACTTAAGCATGTGAAGTTGCAGTGTATAAGCCTATAATCCCCTCAATGTCAACTCTAATATCAATAAGTTACTTTCATAGTCAACTCAATTAACATTTGTTCTTTCAGTAGACGTTTATTAAATAATCAATGTCTATTCTTTACTGAAGTAATAGAAGACAATATGAAAGAGAATGAGGGCTAGGCCAAAGCTTTGCCTCCAAACTAAAAAAAAAAAAAAAAAAAGCATATTCAATTTAAAAGAGGGGGGGTGGGGTGGGAATGGAGTTAAGGTGGTAGAGTGCTAACCTTGAGAGAAAAAGCTACAGGTCAGCATCCAGGCCCCGACTTTAAGATTCAGTACCAACATAGAATAATAATAATAATAATGTATCCCCTATGGTCAAAGTAGCCAGCTTTGATTCAAATTCACATGAAGGATAGTGAAAACGCCACCCCAGGGTAAAGGGTTATAAACGGATAGACGTCAGACCAGAGCTGGTCACGAAGATGGGGTCTTATTGAAGAGATTTTAAAAGAAACCTTATACTCACAGACCCATAAAGAGGAACCAGTTATCACTGGATAATGAAATTAGCCATTACAGTTCCTTTCTTTTTTCCTTTTTAGCACTTCAAAATACACAGAAAATGAGAAGAAAAGCTAATTCTAAAAGTTTTACAAACTATCCTTTCTAATTTTTCTCTAAAAAATGATTCATAGAACAAATGTCATTTTATTGACAGTGACCCTTAAATGGGTTCTCTGATAGGAATTAAATAGTTCATAATTTTGAAATCATTTAAAAATCATTTTAACTTTAAAAATCATTTCCACATTCTCTGAGTAATTTATTCTTTTTCCTGCTCAGATTCCTTCTCACTTTCTTCTCTTTGCCTCCTGTTTTTCTTCAGCATTTAACACTACTGATTCATAATATTATTAAAAATAATAATAGCTGGGCACTGGTGGCTCATGTCTGTTATCCTAGATACTCAGGAGGATCTTGGTTTAAAGTCAGCTTGAGCGGAAAAGTCTGTGAAACTCCTATCTCCAATTTACTAGCAAAAATCCAGAAGTGGAGCTGAAGCTCAGTTGGTAGAGTGCCATCTGAGGAGCCCTAAGTTCCTAGTACTGGCATCATCATCATCATCATCATCTTCATCATCATCATCTAATCTGCTACTATAGTTTGAATCTTCACTGTCCCCTAGAACCCCATGTATGACAGGCTTAGTCCTCAGCTTGATGCTATTTAAACGTGAGGAAACCTTTACGCGTTGAAGCCTGGTGAGGAGTTTTGGGTTACGGGGAGAGGGGTTGGCTGCAGAGGGGACTGAAAGGTCCTGATCTCTCCATCTTTCGCTCATTCCCAGCCTTGAGGTGCACAGACTTCTTTTGACATGATAATCTTCTTGCTCCTACCAACATACACTGCCCTCCCCACAGGCCCCAAAGTAACAGAGCCAACCAAACATGAGCTAAAACCTGCAAAGCTGGGAGCTAAAATAATCCTTTCCTCTTTATCACTTGATTACCTTGGGTATGTTGTTATAATCACAGAAAGCTAACACAGCTACTTAGATAAATTTCAATGGAATCCCAAAGGAAAGCTCCTTAATTCCCCAGCCTGGCTCAATTCCACCCGCAGCGGAAATGGGTGGAAGGGAGCCGGGAGGCTCTCACACAACAAAAAGAACTCATTATCCACACGAATGCTCACCTCGATGAATGACAGAGAGCTTACTGTGCAAATGTTCTAATGCTTTTACAATCTGCAAGAGAAACACAGAGTCGATTTATGGAAAGAAATTGGATGTTAAGTATATCCAAGTTTATTATGTCTGGGTTTAAGGGTGAACTCTTTTCTCAAAGACCAGAGCCCCAGCCAAGAAAATAAGCAGGAACTAATACAAGTTGGATCCCGCCCATCAGACGGCCGAGAAGGTGTCTCTCTCTCTCATCTATCTATCTTCTTCCCATTTGCCTCAAAACTGTTTCTCTCTCTCTCTCTCTCTCTCACACACACACACACACACATACTCACACACACACACTCTCTCTCTCTCTCTCTCTCTCTCTCTCTCTCTCTCTCCCCTCCCATCCCCAAATCTCAGCAGTCATACAGGTAGTAAATGTTCCTATTTCCTTTTCCTTCTCATGCCTTCTCTTACTACCAGTCTCAAGCAAACCTTTAAAACTCTACAGAATCTAACTGAACTAATGTATATTTCCCATCAAAACAGGATCATTGAGAATGGCCAGATAAAAAGTCATTTAATGTAGTTAACCAAACCAGGTTCATAGCAACATTGCTATACAGAAAGAAATGCACTTACTTATCCACCAACCAATGCCCTTATGCAATCAACAAACATGGACCAGATGGAGGTTATGGCATAGGTAGTGTCTCTTCACACCCCTGAGCAGAGAGCCAGTGGATCACACCTAGAATCCTAGCTACTCAGGTAGGTTGAGATTCTGAGGGTCACAGTTTGAAGCCAGTCCAGGCAGAAAATTCCATGAGACTCTTATCTCCAGTTAATCCCCCAAAAGCCAGAAGTGCAACTGTGGCTCAAGTGATAGTCTTGAGTGGAAAAAGTTAAGGGACGGGTACCCAGGCCCTGAGTATGAGCTCTAGTACTCGCACCAAAAAAGTCATGTTTGGCCTAGACCCCTCTCATTTTCTTTGTAGTGGGAATGGGGGGGGGAGGGTACTCACAGATACTGCTATCTTTCCCAAAATGTCCTCTGGGATTGTCTGCCCCTTGTCAATAACTTGCTTGTAGAATTTATCTAGCGATGTATCCATGAGCTCCATGCAAATCCAAACATCACCCTGGAAACCAACACATTCCGGCATTGTTAACAAAGATGGGAAGGGACTCAGAAGAAACAAGCTAACCCTTGTCCTGAAGCACTCTTCCTTTCTAGCTTTTTTGTTTGGCTTTTTTTTTTTTTGGATGAAAGGGACAATATTCCACCAAGATCCCAAAGGTATTTAGCAATGAGCAAGATTTTCCTCCAAAAAGTAACCCAGCAGATAGTTATGTATTCCGAGAAATGGAAGTGATCTTTCTCCTTAGAACCTGAATGGGAGAATCACCTACCTCTCGGAAGAGTGCGCCGTAGAAAGTGACAGTAAATGGACAGTCCACTGTCCTCATAGAAACATCCAAATCCATCAGTAGCCTTTTCTGCTCCTGGCTATTTACAGTGGCTCGGATCCGCTGGATGGAAACACAGGGAAAGATGGATGCTAACCATTTTGAGGATGAGTCAATTTGTAAGGCAAAACCATCTGTTTTGCCAGCCCCTGGAAAAAAGTAAACAGAGCCAAGTACCAACATCTCACACCTGTAATTCTAAGCTACCCCGGAGGTTGTGATCTGAGGATCACAATCTGAAGCCTGCCTGGGCAGGAAAGTCTGTGAGACTCTTTATCTCCAAGGAACTATACAAAAGCCAGAAGTAGAGCTTGAGTTCAAAATGGTAGAGCAACCAGCCTTGAGCCAGAAAAAAAAAAAAAAAGTCAAGGACAGCACCCAGGCTCTGAGTTCAAGACCCCAATACAGCACAAAAAAAGAAAGAACAATACAGTATGTTTGAGAGACTGGGGAAAAGTTGCAAAATGCATTTCCAAAGTGCAAAAACCATCTAGTTTACTGAATGACACCTATACAGGGCAAAGAGGCCATATAATGACTGTTTATTTGGGGTCCTAAGAGGGTTTTTAAAAAGGAGGGGGTGAGACTCTCTTCTCCCACATAGGAGAACCAGAACTATAGCATGCCCTCTGCATCTGTGGAGGATTGGTTCCAGGACCAGCTTCAGAAACCAAAATCTCCTGGTGATTAAGTTTTCTGTAGAATGGTGTAGTCTGCGCATATTACCTGCACACAGCTTCCCATGTGTTTCTCTGTCATCTCTAGATTGCTTATGACAGGGAATGCAATGTAAATACCATGCAAATAGTTTGTTCTGCTCATTGTTCAGGAAGTCATGACAAGAAAGAAAAGTCTTTATGTATTTAGTCCTTTTTTTTAAAATTTCGAATATTTGAGTGTATGGATGAAGAACCCACAAGAACAAAGGGCTGACTGGATCTGGAATAAACAGGAAATGTCCAGCTGTAGACAATAGAAGAAGGATCCAGAGAAATGGAGAAAATGATCATTCTTAGCCAAAGCTGCTAAAAGAAGAAAAACCTGTCCTGCAAGCCAGAGCCCTGCAGCCTTCCAGAGATGTGATTATGACATCATGAGCTGGCTGGGAAGGGACAGTAGCCCTAGATCTTCACAGGTTTTGCTTACTGAGCAGTCAACAGAACAGACTGGAAAAATCTCCAAGCCTGAGAAGAGATCTCCACTTTCTAAAAGCAGAGGGATCCAAGTCGGCACCCATTCCTAAGCAAGATTCAGGGTCTAATAAATTGTCTAGGCAAGCTCACTGTTTAAAATCCTTCCTGATGACTGGTGGAGGGAAGGGATAGTGGGACAACAGAAAGGAAAGGGTAACATTGATCGACAAGTAATGTACATTGCCTTACTCATGTAACCGTAACCCCTCTGTATAGCAGCTTTACAATAACATAAAATTAAAAGAGAATCCTTCCTGACTCTGTCCAAGAAACATGACTTCACATCAACAACAATGCAAATTTATTCTAGATCAGCCTTATCCTGTTTCCACAGAGATCTCTCTGTGTGTCTCTCTCCTCTGTCTCTGTCTCTCTCTCTCTCCCTTCCTCTCTCCCCCTCTCTTTCTCTCTCATTTCTGATTTCTGGATATTCAAATTAGACCAGGTACTGGTGGCTCACACCTTTAATCCTAGTTAGTTCAAAGCCAGCCCAGGGAGGAAAGTCTGTGAGATTCTTTTTGTCTTTTTTTTTTCCTTTTTAAAATTTTATTGTAAAAGGGATGTGCAGAGGGGTTACAGTTACATTAATCAGGTAATGAGTACATTTCTTTTGTTAATAGTGTCCCCCTCTCCCTGCTATTCTCCCAGTTGTTCCCATCCCCCACAAATTAATTTCCAACAGGGTGTCTAGTGAGCATCACTGATGAATTGCTTATCTCCAATGAACACACAAAAAGCTGAAAATGGAGCTGTGGTTCAAATGGTAGAGCTTCAGACTTAAGCAAAAAAAAAAAGGAAGGAAGAAAGGAAAGAAGGAAGGAAGAAAGAAAGAGGAAAAAAGAAAGAAAGAGGAAAAAAAGCAGAAGGCCCTGAGTTCAAGCCCCAGTACTGACACCAAGTGGCGCTGTGGCTCAAGTGGTAGAGCACTAGCCTTGAGCTGAAGAGCTCAGGGACAGCGCCCAGGCCCAGAGTTCAAGCCCTAAAAAATTAATTTAATTATAAATGCAATAGAACAGAGAATATGAGAGATCTATGCATCCTAACAGCTGTGTGTGATGTCTGAGCCCTGGTAAGGATACTGCTTTATAAAACCAAAAGAACAACAAAGACACGTTGAGATAAACAAAATCTTAATTTGGAAAAGGTATTCAGTTAGGTTAAAAAAGAATTGTTAAAAGCCAGGCACTGGTGGTTCATGCCTATAAAATTCTAGCAACTCAGGAAACTGAAATCTAAGGGCTGTGGTTCAAAGCTAGCCTGGGCAGGAAAGTCATTGAGACTCTTATCTCCAATGAATCACAAAAAGAAACAAAAAACAGACAGGGAGCGGTGGCTCAAGTGGGAGTGTGCTAGCCTTGAGCAAAAAACAAAATAAAATCAAGAACAATGCCTACATCCTGAGTTCAAGCCCTGGGACCAGCACAAAAAGAAAAAGAATTCTTTTTCTTTTCAGTGTGATTAATAACACAGTGGCCGTGTGTGTGTGTGTGTGTGTGTGTGTGTGTGTGTGTGTGTGTGTGTGCGTGTAGTTAATGGTGGAGCAAGAGGGACTTTAAGGTTTAACACTAACTAGAAAGTAAGTACAATGAACTCCAAAAAGGCATTTTGGCCAGGGACCAGTGGTTCACACCTGTAATCCTACTCAGGAGGCTGAGATCTGAGGATCGCAGTTCAAAGCCAGCCCAGGCAGGAAAGTCCCTGACACTCTTATCTCCAATAAACCACCAGAAAATGGAAGTAGTGCAGTGGCTCAAGTGGTAGAGCACTCGCCTTGAGCCGAAGAGCTGAGGGACAGCGCCCAGGCCCATCACAGACCAAAAAAAAAAGGCATTTTGCACACACTGACACAGAAATGCAATTTCCCAAAAGTCATCTTTCCCTTCCACCCTGTTGAAGATCTTTTCTTTCTTTTTATGAAGGGGGATGGTTTACAGAAGAGATGGCAAACTCTATCTAGACCACAGACACACAGAAACCCGTAGAACATCCACTCTACCTTCACCGCCATGATCTGCCCGCTGGGCACATGTCGCATCTTCTCCACCACCCCATAAGCACCTCGCCCCAGCTCCATGATGGGCTCCAGGTCATCTGCCTTCACCTCAAAATTCTGCAACGGGGAAAAGCAGCATGATGGCAACAGGGGAGTGACCATTACACTGGACAGCGACATGGTTGCACGCTCTCTGGTTTTGCCCCCTCTTTTTACAGCATGAGGATTTGAACCCCAGGCCTCACTCACTGGCTAGACGGGTGATCTACCACTTGAGCCAAACTCCTAGGCCTTTGATGCTTCCGTGGATAGGGTCTCCCATGTTGTCTGGTTTAGCCTCGCTCCACAATCCTCCTACCCCACTTCCCACAGACTTGCCCAGGCCATGTTTGTGGAAATGGGGTTTTCGCTGACTTTTCTGTAGTCTACCCACTATCCACTCCATCTCAGTCTCCCAAGTAGCCAACACCACACGCCTGTACCACCACACCGGCCTCGCCCTGTATTCTAAGGGTTATGTCTACGTCGAAAGTTCTTCTAGAAAGCCGGGCGCTGGTGGCTCACGCCTGTAATCCTAGCTACTCAGGAGGCTGAGATCTGAGGATCGCGGTTCAAAGCCAGCCCGGGCAGGAGAGACCGTGAGACTCCTATCTCCAATAAACCACCAGAAAACCGGAAGTGGCGCTGTAGCTCAAGTGGTAGAGCACTCGCCTTGAGCTGAAGAGCTGAGGGACAGCACTCAGGCCCAGAGTTCAAGCCCCACCAGCCGACCAAAAAAAAAAAAAAAAAAAAGAAAGTTCTTCTAGAATGTCAAGGTACCACTGCAAGCAGAGAATACCAGTGAAACCCCCGGCCACTGATGAGCCACCTGCAAACCACCAGTAATACAGGGACACGCTCTATCCAACTCAGTTTTGCAGGGGCTCGGTTGAAACTCCCTACACCATGCTTCTTTATAATCTACTAGAGACTAGGGCAACTAGATGATATGGCCTCCCAAGGGAACTCGTCTACTCTTATGAAAGTTATTTTCTCAGAATGACAAGAGTCTGATTTCAATTTACAATTCAAAACAGTAAAACTACCCATATGATTTCCCCTTAAAGTCAGACATCGTTGTTTTTAATCCATCTCCTCACAATGTGGTACAGAAAATAATTCTTTCAGTGTGACAGTCAGAAAACACCTGTACAGGGCCAGGCATGGTGGTGGTATACGCTGCCTGCAATCCCAGCTCTGCAGGAGGATCAAGGTCTGAGGCTAGTCTTGAGCAAAAGTGCAAGAGGGTATGTGAAGGGAAATTAAGCCAAAAGAACTAGAGGTATGGCTCCAGTCGTAAGGAGCTTGCATTGGTAAGGCACTGGCAAACACAAGGCCCCGAGTTCAAACTCTAGAACCAAGGAAGGGAGGGAGGGAAGAAGAAAGGAGGGAGGAAAGATGGGAGGAGGGAAGGAAAGGGAGAAAGAAGGAGGAAGGAAATAAAAGTATATACATAAAGAGAGAGAGAGAGACTGATAAGCAGAGAGAGATTGATAAACATGACTTTCCTCACCTGATTTCCAATAGAAATGCAAGCCTTGGAGTCTAAGTCTCGAGGAGGCCTAAGAAACATAGGAGAGAAAAGGAAGCATGAGTTCTTTACTCAGGTTTGTCCTTCTGAAATCACGTGTGACTCAAGAGAATTTCCCTTAGAAAGGAGGTGGGAATCATGGGTCATGTGGACACAACAGGGTTTGGAATAATAGCTATTTGGGTTTAAAACACCTCATCTATTTGAGCTTGTATTCCTTCCTTACCATGAAGCTATTAATCTACCTATCTTGTGAAGTAGAAATCATATCCCAAGTCAAATACAATGCTTAGTGAAGCACCTAGCACGCAGTAAATATCCAGTAATTCAGAGCCATAGGTATGCAGCTATTGTGATCTTACGTTATTGTGGTTAGCATCAAAGTTTTTCTGTCATCCAACTGTAGCAACCAAAATATACCCAATCATTCCACCAGTCCTTCCAAATAAGAAAGAAAGAAGAGAGAGAGAGAGGAAGGAAGGAAGGAAGGAAGGAAGGAAGGGAGGGAGGGAGGGAGGGAGGGAGGGAGGGAGGGAGGGAGGGAAGGGGGGAAGGAAGAAGAGAAAGAGAGAGGGGAAAAGAAAGATAGATTAAAAAGAGAAAGGAAGAAAAAAGAGGGAGGGAGGGAGGGAGGAAGCACAGAGGAAGGAAGGAAAAAAAGGGGAGGGAGGAAGGAAAGAAAGAGAGAAAGAGAAAGAAAGAAAGAAAGTACAGAAATAAGAAAGAAAGAAAGGAAGGAAGAAGAAAGGAGAAAGAGAGGAAAGGATAAAGCAAAAAGAAAGAGAAACTGAGAGAGGGAGGGAAGGGAAGGGAAGAAGCTAGTGATGGTAATTCCGGGATGCTAATTCCAAATCTCTTCCCATCTTCCCATCTTCTGGACAGAAGATCTGCAGAGGTGAAATGACTCGCCCCCCATCTCCTGATTTCATTCACAGCATCTTTCTCTTCCGCCAGGCTGTTGAATCAAATCCAGTGACCTTCTTTCTGTACATAGCAAGCATAATATTCACGGGCCCACCGACTCAGGAGGCAGAGGCCTGCTGCCCGTGTCTCCTCCTCATGTGCACTTACTTCTATACCTCAGTGTTCTCTCATGCTAGCAAAGCAGAAACACAAACACTGATACAAATATGAATCTAATGGCAAGACTTGCCTCTTTCCCTTACCATGAAATCTCCTTCATAGATAAAGAACACATTAAGGGCTTTCTGTACTAATTTCAGACTAGTGTCTAGGGGGGTCAAAGAGTAAGAACAATACACACACAAACACACACACATACATGGTGGTGATACTTTTGTGTATCTAGTGTTTCTCAGTGGAAAATTCTTCACAAAAGGTTTCTAGAAGAAATCAGATTTCTCAAAATCTAATTTCTCATTCTTATAATGTCCAAAGTTGTTTTTCTTGTTTCACTATACTAAATGCAACAGCACTTTGAAAAATAGGCCAAAAAAAAGAACTGGAAACGTTTAGCCACTATAATTGGTGTGTGTGCTGATCCTGGGGCTTGAAATAAGGGCCTAGGCACAGTCCCTGAATGTTTTTGCTCAAAGTTGGATGCTCAACCACTTGAGCCACACCTCCACTTTTGGCTTTTTGCGGGTTAATTAGAGATAAGAGTCTCGTAGACTTTGCTGCCTAGGCTGGCTTCGAACCACAATCCTCAGATCTCAGCCTCCTGAGTAGCTAGGATTACAACCATGAGCCCCTGATGCCCAGCTCAATTTTTCATGTCCTTTGCAATTATTCATCACAGTGCTTTTATAAAACTATGTGGGAGGAAAAATCATATTAAGTGAAGTTAAGTCAGACCCAAAGAAATATAGGTCCCATGGTTTCCCTCATTTGCAATAATCAGTATACGTCTAGGATAATTTTATAAGATGAGCAGAAAAGCTCAAACGCTATGTACATATGACCATATAAGATGATGCTAAGTGAAATGAAGCCCAAGATATAGATACAAGAGGTCTTTCTTTGTTGTTGTTTCTCACATACTATGTGATTATTTTTTGTTTCCTTTGTATGTTCTTCCCTCCCCCCATGGTATATCCCCTGTTGTCACTGTACTTGATTTTGGTACCCTGCATCTTGTATATGCATTTGTCTAATTTGGGGAGGGGAAGGGGAATAACAAAACGCTGAAACAAGGACACAGGATGACCCCTTACAACAATGAGACTCACAAGATGCTATGTTGGAAATGAACTTTACAACTTTGGGGCAGGGAGAGGAGTGAGGGAGGTGGGGGAGGGAAGGGGTAACAGTGCTTGACAAGAAATGTACTTATTGCTTCACTCAGGTAGCTGTAACCCCCTCTGTACAGCATCTTTACAAGAAAAGAAAAGAAAACTGAGAAAGAGAGAGCACTAATTATTTGGAGCTACCACTCCTTTCTTTCCAATTACCAAGAATACTGGAGGGAAAAAAAAAACCAACTCAGGACTAACATGTTTATATCCTCTCTCAATATTTACTCCAATTCCAATCTATAGTCCAGCTTCAGTTGTTGTAATAAAACCAACAAACCAAAACTAAGCAAATAAATAAGTTAAATGAATAATTAAATAAATAAAATAGATTAAATAAATAGATTAACTAAATAAAACAAAGGATACAATATTGTAGCTTAGGTAAGCCTAAAACACTGTCTGGCCTTTTGCAAAAAGTTTGCTGATCCTCACTCAACAAACCCTCGCCTTATACCTGAACCTTCCAGTCCAGAAGGCCATGCCGCTATTTTCCAGATGAAGAAAATTGAAATCCAGGAAAGCTGGGTGGTTTACGGAAGCTATGTGTGGTTGTTGTCCATAGAGCTGAAAATAAAGCTCAAGTCACCTAAATCTCAGCCCTGACCTAAAAAGAGGGAAAGAGGAAGAGAAGGGGGAAGGGAAAACCCTGGACAAAGTGCTTTACCAGTTCCCATGGTTCCCATCCAAGCCTGGACTGAATCAAGGGACTTGCCCCAGACACCCAGGCCTCTTCTCAGGAAAATGATTCACCCACACAGGCCTCAGGCCTTGAGGCTCATCTAGGCTGCCAAACGCAGCAAAGAACAGGGCCAAGACTGATGGTGCACAGTGCATTCGTTGACGGGGTGTTCTTCCTGTCCAGGACTGGGATGTATTAGTTTGCCTGGGGCGCTGAGACTCTGTGGGTGGACATTCTGTCAGTGATTCCATAGTTTTAGTCCTCTGGGGAAAGAATCAAGCTTATGACAGACAAAATTACTTCCCTGGAAGACCAAAGGCATCCCAGTGGTCACCTGGTACTGGTGTTTAAGAGGAGCAACCAGCTGTGATTCATTATAATAAACTGTTGGGGCTGGGAAGGTGGCTCAGTGGTAGAGCGCTTGCCTTGCATGCATGAGGCCCTGGGTTCGATTCCTCAGCACCACATAAGCAGAAAAAAAAAGAAAGACGGAAGTGGTGCTGTGGCTCAAGTGGTAGAGCGCTAGCCTTGAGCTGAAGAGCTGAGGGACAGAGCCTAGGCCCAGAGTTCAGGCCCCAGGACCGGACCCAAAAAAATAAATAAAAAATAAAAATAAACTGTTTACTTGTAATTCTATATGTATAGTCAGTTCACTGGCTATTACTGAAATTTTCATTCACATCATTAATGAGTTTTATGAAGCACCTATTTATTTGCGCCAGAGACTGTGCTAGACTTTATATATATATATATATATATATATATATATATTAGAGAGATTATATATACATGATATCTATTATATATTCTATTATAAATTATCATGTATAAATTATTATGTATTGTAAATATGTATATGTGTGTAGATTGTATATGTATATATATTGTATATGTATATATGTATATGTTTACATGTATCTATAATTTATAATTATATATTATAACTATCTATTTTATGAATGTTATAAATACTATATGTGTAGTATAAATATATTTACTGTATTAAATATAGTAATATATAACAATATATTACATTATATTATCATGTGTTATATATAATATGTAATATCATTATATATAACCTATTTAATTTTTACCGCTCTCAGAGGTATTTTTTGTCTCTATTTCAATGCAAAGACATTAGGACATTAAATAATTGCAGCTCATTCAATGAGATAATATTTTGATCCAGTACTGCAACAGGTGACTTTTTCTCTTTGCAAGTGCAAAATCTTCCCTCCCTCCCCTCCCCCACCACCTCATAAGCCATAAACATGTGCTCAAGCTTCACCCAGTCCAAGGTATAGAGAGCTAAGAGCAGGCACATGACTGGGTTTAGGTGCCAGCTCTTCTACCCAGAAGAAGTTGTGCCAGAATGATAAACAAGTTAGCGCTACCTTTCATTGATTATAATGGACTAGACTCCCAGCTAGACTAGGCTAGATTCAAATGAGGACACTTTATCTCCATAACCCTCACACTGTCTCACTTATTCCTGGTTTTTAGAAGGGGAAACTAAGGCTGACACCAATTAGGTATCTTGCCTAAAGTATTCAGTTGGTGACATTCAGATCTCACATATAAACCTAGCATTTGGGCTCTGGAGCTCAAACGCTTCCCCGTGATGCTTATAGGGGACAAGTACATGAAGCATTTGTCCCCTGACATCTTTGCTGCTATTTCACGCAGTGGGTGAGCACGGCAGACCCTGTGTCCTGAGTCTCCCATTAGGGTGAAAAGAAATGATACTGACCAGCACAAAACTGACCTAGAACTAACTATGCCCAGTCACGTGGCGGGACAGCTCAGAAAGCTGAGACAAAAACACACTGGCCCTGGCAACTCAAAGAAAGAGCTCAAGCAGATGGACCACACACACGCACTGAACCAGGGAATGAATGCGGCTTTCTCCTCCCCCACCCCTCAACTTCTGTCCAGCACAGCAGGAGAGTATAAGTGGCAAGGATCACCAAGCCAACACTAAAAAGTGGCCAGAGGAAATACAAAATGTGGAAGCTACTTCCTTGGAGGTCCATTTGTAAGCCTCAGTTTGAAAATAATAGTATGAAGTAAGCCTTGGTATGAAAATAATGGTATGAAGAAGAAGAGTTTGTGAGCGCAAGTGGAGAAGACCACAAGCATGAAATGATTGGTTTCCAAGCCAAAGCCGAAAAGGGTGCTCAGAGCGCTCAAAGCATGGTCTCCCAGGGAAGATAAATAGAAACCCCTTCACCTTGGCCTCAGCTCTTATGCATTTGTTTATCCACAGAAATGTTTTTGTAAAATACATTAAACTAATGCATACCAGGAATGAAAAATTTAAAGAAGAGAGGGAATATAAGACAGCTATGTAGATTAGCACTGCTGGAGATTTAACCTAGAGCCTCACTCATATGAGGAAAATATTCTAGAAACCACGCTATAAACCCAGCCCAAGGTAAGAATATACGTCCAGAAATGTTGACAATAAAGGAAGAAAGCAATGAAACTAAAAACAGGAAAATAACCATGCTAATTCTTTTTTTAATAATAAAACTCAATAAAACAATGCTAATTCTTAAAAATAAAACAACTCAATAAAACAAAAAAATGGACAACAATAACAAGAAGGAAAGCACATCTTACTAACATCAGGGAAAATACAGGATGTGTGTAGATATCTTGCAGCCATTGAAGGAATGATCCGGAAATCTTGTGACAGCTTTATTCTCATAAATTGACTACTTCGAAGAAATGGACCAACTCTTCAAAAACCACATACTACCAAAGGTCAGCCATCCAGAAATATTATATCTGAATAGCCCTCTATCTATTTAGAAAATTGGATTTGTAACTTAGAAGTTCCAGAAAAATATCTCTCCATGAGAAATTTCCTTGCTGAGCTGACTTCAAGCCACAAGCTTCAGATCTCAGCCGCCTGAGTAGCAAGGAATACAGGCACTGAGCCACAGGCACCCAGCTTTCTCTCGCCTGGGTAGAACATTTCTTTATATTGTTGCGTACCATGCCAACCAAGACCAAGGGCTCCAGCAGTTTTGCACCAAGCCTGGGACCATTGTAATGAGCATTTCTCAGCGCTAGAGGGTGCACGTGCTGGTAAGGCAGACCACAGCTAAGGTCACGAAAACATTTACAAAGGGCGAGGCACTCCTAGAGACATAAGTGAAAATCTTAAAAATTTCACTGAGATAAGAGATGCCCTCCCTCCTCTGCTGAGACAAAGAACCAACCATCAAGCAAGCTCCAGGAGAGAGCAGGCCTGCTGAACCCCGACTGGAGCTCACTGTGGGACTGGCGCCAAAGTCTCAACTCATAAAGAAGTATTCCTTCACCTCACTGTTCCTACTGTTTGAATGGAGAGGATGTGGTAACTCATCCAATGCCATCTTTGCCGCTCAACCCAAGTTTTAGAGTAATCACGGCTCTCACAGGGATTGGTTTGTTCATTTCATATCTACAGAGAAAAGGGAAGCCAGTCCATCTCCAGGGACTTTTCTGATTTTATATCTCTGACCTCGGCTACCCCAGCTAGTATGTGTTGCCTAACTCTTACTCAACCAATCATTTGAGACACCAGCTTCAAAGCCACCCATTGAATGTCGACTGACTGCCAGACTGATTCGTTCAGGGCCCAGAACAGCAGGCAATTCTTGTCTCCTCATAGGCCAGCTTTTCCTCCTAATAACACTGCTCAAAGTCCAAGGCTCACCAATCCAAAAAAAAAAACCAACGACCGCTGGAAGGATGGCCACAGAACACGCGTTCAGATCAGAACGATAGCTTTGCTAACTTACGTGGAACTGGTCTGAGGCTGCTCAAATGCTTCTTTCGGAATTTTAAGGCCAGGATTTTTCTTCTTGCCTATGGGAAAAGGACAAAAGCACAAATTAAGGTCTTCATCGAATCATGAGGAACCAGAACCAAAGCAGTGGTGGGCACGGCACCGCTCCTCAATGCAGGGCAGGGTGAGGAATGACATGAGGGCAGTGTGCACCAAAGGGCAACGCTCTGAAAACAAGTCCTTTCTCTGTGCCCAGGCTCCTCTGTGTCAACCTTTACACAATCATCACAATGGCAGATGGCAGTTACTGTTATTTCCTTTCTTACTAACGTCAATACAACACCATCACCATTATCCAGTATTTGAGCTGGGTGCTGGTGGCTCACACCTGTAATCCTAGCTACTCAGGAGGCTGAGATCTGAGGATCATAGTTCAAAACCAGCCAGGGCAGGAAAGCCTGTGAGAACTCTTATCTCCAATTAACCACCAGAAAAGCAGATGTGGATTTAGCACTGTGGCTCAAAGTGGTAGAGTGCTAGTTTTGTGTGAAAAAGTGAAAAGAGACAGCCCCCAGGCTCTGAGTTCAAGCCCTATGACTGACCAAAAAGAGAAAGCGGGTGGGGGGGCCGGGGGGGAAGAAGAGAGAGAGAGGGAGGGAGGGAAGGAAGGAGGGAGGGAGAAAGAGGTAGACAGGGAGAGAGAAGCTCTTGGATTTTGGGTCTCTGCGTATAAATGTGTGTGTGCGTGCGCGCACACACACACACACAGGCACACACGCACACACACACATGCACATGCCAGTACTGACAGTTGAACTCAGTAAGGAACCCCTGGCTTTTCAAGGCTGGGGCTCTACCACCTGAGCCCACACCTCCACTTCTGGCTGTTTGCTGGTTAATTAGAGATACAAGTCTTACAATATTTCTGCTCAGGCTGGCTTCCAACCATGATCCTCAGATCTTGACCTCCAGAGCAGCTAGGATTACAGGTATGAGCCACTAGAACTGGGTTGTTCTAAGAGATAGTTTTAAAACCCTGACCACAGTAATGTTTATTGACACTTGCTTTGTTCCCCCAAAAAGGATTACTGTTCACAGATGGCCTCATACCAGGAGGTTATCACTTCTTTGGAAGGCAGATAGGAGTGTAATCTGATGTCATTCATTCTTGGGCTCAAATGACCAGAGAGAACTTGTCTCCAGTGTGTTTGTTGGTGAGTCAGAAAGAACAGACTGAACAGCTCAGGAAGCAGATGGGGGAAAAAACCATCCTATGAGAACCTAGAGTTAGGCAGGGAAAGCAACGATCAGAGCTGCACAGAGGCCATTCTAAATCCTTTCTCCCTTGTTTAAGTGAGCACTACAGAGCTCCTGCAAGCCTTTGATAAGTCCTGGGTCACATCCCAAGACTGCAAAGCGACTTAAGACATCAGAGAAAGTAAACGCCTTCCACACACATGGCCGGTCACCAGAGATTTGGTGACACATTCAACATCGCAGAGCCAGCAATGAACTCCTCAGAATTAGAATCCACATCTCCTGACACCCCGGCCAGAGCTCCTCCCACTACCCTTCAGAGGTAGAATCACAGGAATGGCCCGAGAGAGAAGCAGCATAGGGGAATGTGGCATCATAGAGAGTTTGAAAAATACCAGCAGCTATCAGGTTCTTCCATTCCAGTTTACCCCTGGCTGACTTTCCATCTGATTATCAATTTCCTCACTTGTACAATAAGAAAGTAACGTCAGTAACTACCTCACTGGACCAATATGTGAATCTAATCAGACAATGCTGAGATCCCATAGTAGCTTTTAGTTATAGTCATAGAGAATAGAGAACGATGGTCCACTGCTTAATTTAAGAAAGGGCTGGTTGTACACGCCTATGCTCCTACCTATGGAGGAGACAGAAATAAAAGTGTCCAGGTTCCAGGCCAGCCTAGGCCTAGTAAGACTCTCTCCTCAAATAAAAATTTTTTTTAAGAAAAGCAGGACTTAATGGTGCATTCCTGTAATCCCAGCAACTTGGGAGGCCGAGGTAGGAGGGTAAGTCCCAGGCCAGGCCAATCAAACATGCAAGATCCCATCTGAAAAAGGAATGCAAAGCAAAACAAGTCCAGGAGTGGCTTAACGGGTAGAGAAAGCTCAGAGTTCAAACATCAGTACCAACAAAACAAAAACAAAAACGAAAGAGAAAATTACTCAATTTAAGAAACTTATGGCAAAACCAGTCTTGTTATCAGGACCCAATACCAATGATCATTGAGCACTCTCAATATTCTTTTCTTTTCTATTGTGCCAATGCCAGGGCTCAAATCCAGAAGTCTCATATTCTCACATGACTTGCTTGCTCACCACGGGCATTCTACCACTTGAGCCACACCTCCACTTTGGCATCTTGCTCATTCATTTATGATGGAGTCTTATGGACTTTTTCCACCTAGCCTGGCTTTGAACCACAATTCTCTAGGTCTCAGCCACCTGTACCTGGCTGAATTATTTACTTTCTATTCCTTCAAAATCCACTATCTAGATCAATTCTTCTTGCATAAAGCAAGGGGGGGGGGAATGTTTGTCAGTAAAGAACCTGGCCAAGGCCTTTCAGGAACATTTTGAGTAAAACAATTATTTCCTCAGTTCTCCCCCTCCTTTCTCCCTATACATTTTGTAATATTTGAAACTCATATTTGTTTTCCTATCCTAAAATCTCAGGTTGCATTTTAGTCCATTTGATTACATTAAGTCAACACTACACAAAGTCAATTGACAACACCTCGAGCTTGACTATGTACCAGGAAGGCTGGAAGGTGTCAGAGCCTTGTGACAACCCAAATAGATCCATGGCCCCTTTCCACTGGGTCTCCTCCTCAGGCCTCAGACAGACAGAGAACATGATTTGAAATGAGACAGTCCACAGAGGAACGAATGACTGATAGTTTGTTAACCACCACTCCTAGATTCCACTCGGGTGCTGCCGGGTAGCTTCCACAGACACGATCTTATATCTCTTTCAAACAAAACACAAAAGAAGATATATTTTTTTCCTATGACAAAAGGCTTTTCAATGGTCATTTAAGCAAACCCAAAGTGCAAGTTTAAATTCTAACCTCTCTCTCCCTCTCTCTCTCTCTCTCTCTGTGTCTCTGTCTCTGTCTCTCTCTCTGCTTTCCTTCCAACTCAGTTTTTAATGGGAGAGATACAAAAAGCAATAGTAGCTATCTATGTACTGAACAAACCTCCCCAGAAGAAATTGAACAGAGCAATTAATGTGGAATAATTCTTAATGACAGTTGGTTATAAACTCAATACATCGTCAAAATATCTATTCAAACATGAGAGAAGTGGGTAAAGATGGACAGAGAGAAGGAAACCTTTTGGCATAGACACTAAAGAATTAAATAACAACAACAAGCCTTCCTGTGAAAGAAGCCACTCCTTGGCTCTTCCTGCCCTCCCTCTGTTTTACCTGGATGCGCAGCCACCAGCCCCCCACCCCTCTTCCTCCTCACATGTGGAGCCTCCTGGATGACAGGTGACCAGTCCCCTTGTCTCCACACTACACAGATGTCAGAGATGTGCACAGTTTTCCAAGTTTTCAGCTCATATTTCAAAACATCCCACCTCCTGATGGCAGCAAGACAGAAACTGTTCCAGGAGACGTGAAAATCAAGTCTCATTATGCTGTCGGAGAATGCTCGGTCTTCAAGGGGGGAAAGCAGACACAACAAAACCCCTCAACCACCACACACAATCGTATTTCAGATTCCACTTACTTGTCCGTCTCTGAAAGAGTCAGTGACTCCGGGGAGGTTCTTTACAGGGCTACCAGGAAGAAAAAAAATAAAACCCAGAGGAATCATTCTTCTCTTAACTGCAGAGACCACACACTTGAGCTGGTAGGGAGAGAACTACGCAGACTCCACCTCCAGCTCAAGTCCGGCCTGCAGCCACTCCGCCAGCTCATTGTTCCTGGGAAACCAGCAGCCCAGGGAGGGAGAAAGGAAATACATCCTTTTGGACACCCAGGGGGCACCATGAATCATTAACCAGACATGGAGAAATGAATCCATAAAGTCATTCTGGACTGGGCAATGGCCTTCTTATACATGCCTCTTTATAACAAGATAGGGGCTGGGAAGGTGGCTTAGTGATAGAGTGTTTGCCTAGCACGCATGAAACCCTGGGTTTGATTCTTCAGTACCACATACACCGAAAAAGCCAGAAGTGGTGCTGTGGCTCAAGTGGTAGAGTGCTAGATTTGAGCAAAAGAAGCTCAGGGACAGTGCCCAAGCCCTGAGTTCAAGCCCCCCCAAAAACAAACAAACAAATAAATAAACAAACAACATGGGGTGAGTTTCCACCTATGTTTATTTCAGAGCAACTTGTTCCCCTAGGAAAGACGCCAGACCTGATACTAACCCGGAACTGGGTGTGGCTCAGAGAAATCAATACTAAGTGGCCACGTATGCCAAAGCATCTTGTGCCTGGATATTCAAAAGCGAAAATGCAAAAGCCAGAAAGTGGGTTTTATACCACTTCCCATGCGAGCAACAAGGATTCTGTGTCCTTCTAATCCTCTCCTCGGTCCACCCTTCAAAAGAGGCTGCCCACAGGCCAGCCGGTGAACATGGAACCAATTATTACAGAGCTCCATGTCAAAGCCAGGTCCTGTTTGCTTTGAAAAGAATGTGATCCCAACATATTCCTATATTTGCAAAATTCATCTTGTCCCATAGCTGGATCAGTGTATAAGATCATCTTGGCCTGAAGCAAAATGGCAGTGGGAAAAGAAAAGTGTTTGTTTGTTTGTTTGTTTGTTTGTTTTGCCAACAGTAAGAAAGATAGACCAAAGAAATGCTGGCTACTTGGACAGTGAGGAAAATGATGGGGTAGGCACAGGCTTTGCCCCACATTTGCTCAGAGAGGGTGAGCACAAAGGCCTTCTCTGATACACCGTATTACATAAAACAGAAGGTTGTGTCCCAGAGCCAATCCAAACAGCATGAAACCCTCACCCGGTCAGCAGAAGGAAGACACACCTCCAGGTCTGTCAGCTCGAGCCAGGGTTGCAGAGGGTAACT